TTTTTCAGAGAACTGTAAGTGAGGAAAAGGACTTAATTGGCAGCTATGTTCCCAGCGTGTGCTGCTGAAGTTCCTGAAGTCATGTTGGATGGACTGGAGCTGCAAAACAGCTGTATTGCTGTTACTGTTCTCTTGAATATGGGTTGACAGTATTTTCATGCTGCTACTGGCTGTTGTGGGTGTAAATGATGTGATCTTTGGAGTGTAGACTGAGAAGGTGTGTCATGCTTGGCCAGATGGGCTGTCTTTTCACCTCCTAAAGCATCTTGCTTCTGCTGAAGGTGGCAGCAAATGTATGTTATATATCTAAGCAGGCAAATACAAAATGACAACTAAAATTGATGCTTTTAGTTAGACATGGTCATTATATCATTGCAGTAGTAATAAGCTGGTAGTATTTCACAAAGACTTCTGATTTCCAGCTATACTAGCTTTGCCCTTCTTGCAGGATGTCTTTTTAAGATACAGGTCCAGTTGTGACCTCTCTCTTGGGCTTCATAAACATCTGTTTTGGCTATGCCAATCTGTAGTGTTTTTAGCAAAAAATATTTTTTCCTATGGAGTGTAAGTTAAACTAAGTTACAAGGACAAAACCAGCTGGGCATCAGGGTTTGAATCTGTTTAACTCCCAGTCACATCCTTATTCTTAGGAAGCCCAAGTTGGGCAGGAGCTTGCTGAAGCAGCAGAAGAGGCTTCTGATGTGCTCTGATGCTACAGTGACAGAGTCTTAGCCTTGGAGAATGATCTCGAGCTGTTGTGACAAACTACTGGCACTGCAGGGAGATTCAGACCAAAACTTGAACCGCTTTGGCAAATCAAGAATTTTGAAACTGAGTGTTTAATTAAAAAGAAACTTTTCTGGTCTATGATATAGGCCAGTTTGGTTCTGCTTCTACATTGTCTGTAGCAATCCATGACTCCTGCAATCCGTAAGGCAGGTTAGAGAGAATCGATGTTTTCATTAGCTACCAAGACAAGCAATATCCTTCAGCCTCAAACTCAAGTGATATGTCAACTCCTAAAAAGGCTGTGTACTCGAGTCTGGTGTAACCATGCTGAAGAACATTGTTCTAGCAAAAACAAGCACTTCTTCACAAAGAAAGCTTATTCATCTGCAGGAGCTCTTAATGGAGGAAGATTTACTGCCAAACACATTCTTGTGCATGCTTTCTGTTCACCTATTATAGCATGAACCCAAACTTCGCTGTGCCTCACAAGTACTGCATGTTTAATACTGTTACATTAACAGCTTTGTTTTCTAGCAGCGCATCTTCATACGTTACTTCGCTGAAGTGTTTACGTGACCTCCGCTAACAGCACGGAGTGTTGCGGTAGCACTCAGCACATGTAATCGCAGCTCGCTTGTTTGAGGAACCAATGCTGTGTGCCCCTTAGGTGAGAAACTGGGCCACAGGGACAAATCTGCCAGCTCAGCCCGTTCCACTGAAATGCGGATATTAATGTCTGGAGTAGGTGAGAGCTGTGTGTAGCTCACGCTCTAGTGTCAAGATGTAGTCTGCAGTGTGAGGATGCAGCCAGCGTAGTGTCAGGTCTGTGGTAGAGCAGAGGCTGTAACCCAGACTTCCATATTCCATGCTTGTTTCCTAGCCACTCTACTACTCTTACTTTCCAGGTCCTTTTTGCATGATAGTGAAGTGCTTTGTGTAGAGCAACTTTTTTTTTTGTGTGGAAATGGGATTTAAGACACAACTAAGAATGCTTGGGAGTAGAATACTAATGTAATAACGTCAGAAGGCTCTCGTGTTCTGTAGCTATCATGAAGCATGGTATTTGAAATGCTACAGACACGTAAGTTTTATTTGAAGAAGCTACACTGTCAGTGGAACGAAGGAGGGGTTCAATCACAATCTCAGCGGTTGTGCAAGAGGAGAGGTGCACCCACCTGCCCTGTAAATTGTACAGCTCTTGGTATTTGGGAGCAGGGTGTGAAGCACCCAAACTGATAGTCGGAGGCATAACAAAAGAAAGGATCTCTTCTCATTTCCATGTGGTATCTGTTATGGCCTTCTGCCACTGCCATCTGAAAGTGGAAAGGAGTGTTAAAATGGTCTAAAATAAGACACATCACTTGGGTACATTGTCTTCTTTTAGGGTGCTGTAAGATATATTTTGGCTGTAATTCCTCTGTCCTCCTGGGTAGTTGAGTAGGACAAGTGTGCATGTGCTCCTGTCCTCCTCTTGTGTCTCGTTCCATATGGTAGTACAGATTTTTGCTCACTTGAGTTTTCTTAGCTGCTCTTTCTGGGATTGTGATCCTGTGATATGCTCCTTTTTTTTTTTAACTTAAAGATGGAGTCACTGAGTAGGTGGTACAGCATGTTGTTTTTCTTTGAAGGGAAGAAAGAGCAGTGAACTGGAAGTTTTGGGTATGCCTCTGTTGACTTTGAGAAGGAGAGAACATTTCTTGAATGTTTGAGTTAAGCTCTTTGTTTGCACTTGGGTTCCTACCACTTTCCTAATGGTATTGCAGAATTCAGAAAATTCTATAAGACACTAAGCCTTCTTGTGTCCTGCTTGTTGTCACTGAAGATATTTTTTAAGTAAACCATGAGGATATAGGTTTCTCTACTTTGTTATTATTCAATGATGTGCAAGCAGTTCTTGCTTATCTTCCAACTTCTACAGTAGAGGACAAGTGAGTGTAATTACAGAAGAAATTTTGTTCAGTCTCTAGGGTTGGAAGCAATGGCTGTTTTAGTCTTTTACTGTTTCTATACTCTTTCAGTGTAGGATGTGTACTGCCTTACGGTGGTGTCTCAGTTCAGAAGCCTAAACTGCTGTGATTTAAATGAAGTAGCTTGCACCTGTTCATGCTCTACTGATTGGATTTTTAAAGGTATCTCACTTAACTGAAAGTAGATGCTCCAGATTACTTTGAAAGTTGTGATTGTTTCATGATCACAGAATCAAAGAATGGTTTGGGTTGGAAGGAACCTTAAAGACCATCCAGTTCCAACCCCCTGCCATGGGCAGGGACACCTTCCACTAGACCAGGTTGCTCAAAGCCTCATCCAGCCTGGCCTTGGACACTTCCAGGGATGGGGCATCCACAGCTTCTCTGGGAACCTGTTCCAGTGTCTCCCCCCCCTCCCCAGGAAGAATTTCTTCCTGATATCTAATCTAAACCTCCCCACTTTCAATTTAAACCTGTTATCCCTTGTCCTGTCACTACAGGCCGTTGTGAAAGGTCCCCCGCATCTTCCTTGTAGCCCCTTCAGGTACTGGAAAGCTGCAATAAGGTCTCCCCGGAGCCTCCTCTTCTCCAGGCTGAAGCCCCCAACTCTCCCAGCCTGTCCCCCTAGCAGAGGTGCTCCAGCCCTCGGAGCATCTCTGGGGCCTCCTCTGGACTTGCTCCAACTGGTTGATATCCTTCTGATGTTGGGGACCCCAGAGCTGGATGTAGAACTGCAGGTGAGGTCTCATGAGAGCAGAGTAGTAAGGGAGAATCACCTCCCGCTACCTGCTGGCTGTATTGATGTTCAAGCATATGATCCTAAACAGTTTATATGTAGCAATTTAAAAACAAACAAACCTCACAAAATCTGTTTTTGCTTATCTCATCAAAATTCCTTTGAAGTGGTTCAGAAGTTGTCAGTAAGTGCTATAGAACTCATCCCTTCTGTGTCTTAAGGTTCTGATGTAGTTATTATGCCCTAAACACTGGTATGACATCTCCTTTTTTACCATGAAGTATGCAGTTTTCAATGTCTGTACTGCTGATTTAAAACAAACCTGTATGGACCATAGCTCCCCTTCCAAGGATGAAGGAAACAGACAATTCAGGATGACTTTTTTTCAGAAACCAAGTTTGTGAGCGCTATGTACTGTAGGAGATAAATTTGTCTTTTTGGCTATTGCAGTGTCCTGGGTCTTTCTGGTAATGTGTTTGAGTCATCCCAGGTGTGTGTTCTGGATGTAGTGGCAGGATGGGTCTGGAGGGAAAGAACAGGGTGAAGAGAGAGAAAGTAAAGATTGTTTTGATTCTTAAGTAAATCTCAGAAATTGGGAGTGACACCAAGAAACTTTCATCTCCTTTGCCCTTTTCATTACATTTGCAGCAGGTTTGGAATTTCAAACTACATTAATTTATAACAAAACCCAGTTAATTTTACTAGATGTTGTTACGCAGAGGTTAAAATAAAGGGGGGATGCAAGGGCCCATGACTCTTCTCTGCTTTACTGGCATATGTCTGAAAAGAAATTGGCTGTTGGAAGGCAAGAGTAGCCTTTTGATGGGTTTCTCTATGTACTTGTGATATCCCTGCTGTACTTTGGATGGGTACAATCAGAGGATGGTTTGGGTTGGAAGGGACCTTAAAGACCATCTAGTTCCAACCCCCCTGCCATGGGCAGGGACACCTTCCACTAGACCAGGTTGCTCCAAGCCTCATCCAGCATGGCCTTGGACACTTCCAGGGATGGGGCATCCACAGCTTCTCGGGCAATCTGTTCCAGTGCCTCACCACCCACTCCAGGAAGAACTTCTTCCTGATATCTAATCTAAACCTCCCCACTTTCAATTTATACCTGTAAAGTAAGTAGTAGTAACTGCAACACTGCTAACAAAGAGTTGCGCTGGTCCCTGGGTCTAAAGTAGAATTCTTCTTTGTAGTTCTTTAAGTAATAAATCAGGATATATTCCATATGTTTATACTGTGCCCACATTAATGACTCTCTGAAAGTATAACTAATAGATTACTTTCCCTTCTCATAAATCCAGTACTGTAGTAAAAAAGCTCTGAAGCATCTAAAAATTGGGGGAGTAATAAACCACAATATTTATGGGTTTTTATTTTCTGGAAGCACATTGTTCTCTGCTGAATACTAGACACATTTACCAGAAATAAACATCACTCAGTGAAGTGTATAGAAGACTAATAAGAGTGACTGGTTTGCGGTAGGTAATGCCTTTTTTTAGGCAAAGGCATCCTGTCCTTGTGGAGAACTTCAAAATATCCCTCTTGTTGTAATGTTTTAGGACTTTATCTACCAGTGATGATGTTGAGGACCGAGAGACTGAGAAAGGCCGTCTGGAAGAAGCTTACGAGAAACGTGACCGGGATTTGGATGAACTCATTGTCCAGCACTACACGGAGCTCACCACCGCGATCCGCACGTACCAGAGCATCACGGAGCGCATCACCAACTCGCGCAATAAGATCAAACAGGTGAGGTCTAGCTCTGCACGTGCTTCTGCCATTGTGTCCGCTCAGTAGCGTGTGCTCTGGGTACAGATCTCTGCCGTGTTTTTCCTCTTATTGGTAGTGTAATGCTGTGAGCTCCCATTTTAACCTTTTGTTTCTCTTTTCCCAGCTAGTTATCATTCTGAACTGAACTAAAAATTGAATTGAGAAAGCCCTATTAGCCACTAATTCTGAATTTCAGGTTGCTCTGTGGCATGGCTAGAAGCAGGTCGTCCAGTCCTGATACAGTGGTTGCAAGCTGTGTCTTACTAGCAGCATGTTTTCTGTAGGATCTCTCCCTGTTGTCTGAGGAGACAAGTAATTAAAAAGCAGAAAGAGAGGTGGATATGAAGTGCAAAGTTGTGCTGTGCCCCCTGTTCATTTATTGTCTGGGCATGTTGCTATCAGGTTTCTGAAGTCTAAGGGCTGCTAAGCTAACACCTTCCCATCTAATCTGTTAATGTTTTGATATGTTGGCCTCCAACCACCTCCTAAATAGTCTGGGTGATTCATCAGCTTGCTTTTCGCTCAGAGAATATGAATTTTGGTGCTATTTCCAAACTCAGTTCTGTTGTGTGAATGTACATGAACTCTGTGCCCCCCTATCTTTCTGTATTTTGAGTGCTCACGCTTCGGTAGCGTGCCAGTAAATAACTCCGTCACTCTTTGTTGTGGACTTGTTCCATCTGCTCTCTCCCTGCAGCTATAGATTAGTTCTTTAGTCTCCTGTCCTATCTTTTAGCCCTGTGTCATTTGCTATGCCTAAACTTGGCAAGCGAGGCACCAGATTTATTCAGTGGGGTTTTTTTCCCCTGGATTTTGGAGGTCTCAGCTGAAAACCTTTCCCAGCAGTGCTTTGGGAGCAGTAGGCTTTTACCCTTCTGGGGCCATGTACTGACCCTTCTGCCTTTGAAAATTCATTTAGCATTTTCAAAGAAAATGAAACTATTCTGATGCTTTCCAAGGGTAAGAGTTCATTCTAGGATTTATGTACAAGGCTCAGCACTTTGAAAGCAGAGATCAATTGCGCTAAAATTGAAATAAACTGTAGCCAGTGGCGTGTTTTCAGACAGTGTGCTGGGCTTTGAGGTCAAAACAAACATATAGGGGTGTGACCTTTTGGTCCTCCCTAGAAGAATGACAGTGAGGGTGAAGGACCTTTTGATATTTAAGTTTGCTTATTAGTTTTGGTCAATATGTATTGAAGTAGTTTTGACCTAATCTCACGGGAGGCCCCAGATCTGGTTTGTCATCAGTCTGTGTTACACCATTTGACTTTTTTGATGTTCCTCTTGTGGAAGGTGGATGATCACACAAAAGTCTGCTTGCATTAGGAATTGTGGAAGTGATAGATAGTCCAGCTCCCTCTGTGTATCAACTTTTTGTAGTTGATTCTTCATGAATTCCTGTTGGGAAAGGCTTAGTTTTGAATCTAGCTTTAGAGGTGTTACCACGGTAAAATTGAATTATAAAGTGGAAAGAATTTGGCCTACCAAGGGGAGGTTCTTTCTTAAAGACTGGCTGTTCATTCCTTCCCCTGCTCCCACAGGTAGGCAGAGTTGATCATCTTTCTTGTAAGGACAGGAGTAGCAATGTCTTGTGAGATTCTTTCTAGCCCCACGATTCCTTTCCTGACCTAATTTGGCTCTGTGTAACAGCAGTCCACTGATGATGGTGTGCTGGGTCAGTGAAGAAATTAAAATTAAGGCATTGAACAGGGATTAAGTCTGAAATGAACTCTGCATTTTAGTTTGCTTTTGCAGTGAGTTACGGCACGGACATGAGGGTTTCTGTTGGCTGAGGATTTCTCGGTTATTCTTTTCAGAAGGACATTTTGGAGTGCAGGGGCACTGTATGGAAACCTCAGTCTCTTCTGACTCTGGCTGGAGGCTGTTTCATGTAGCTGTTGTTATTAATGGTTGTCTCTATTTTGGTCTAGCTGTGTGTTTCACCTGGATTTTTTTAAACTGCCTTTAGATGGACAACGTAGGAGAATGTGCAGCCGAATTGGGGTTTTTGGAGGCCTTTGAAGGCTTATTATTTAAAAATAAATTGAAGGGTCTACTTCTGAGTGTCTCTCTTCATGTGTAATTCAGTGCGAGTTCAGCCTGAGAAAAGGTTGGACCCTAAGTATTCATAACTTATCACAAAAACAAGAGTAGTGTGAAAGCAATGTGCGAAGCTGTGTTGTTAATTGCTTCCACATTTTAATATGTATTATTGATTTGCATTATGCAAGAAAAGCAAGGTTATACTGACCTTACCCCGGAGGATGTTGGGAGAACCTGAAAGCAGAGTACGCAGGCTGTGTTTGAGCAGAAAGAAAGGGGAAGAAAAACTCCTCATGTTTTTCAAATGGGGTAGGGTAGTAGAGACTTTGCCTCTTAGAGGATGGCATGAAGCTTGAAAACAAGCCGAATGGCAAACAATGAGGTTTAAGTGATGTAATAGCCTTGATAAATAATGGAAATGCTGAATTGAACTGCATCTTAACTATTTGTTCCAATAAAGCCCTGTATCTTAGAAAAAATGGTATTGCTTGAGGTGTTAGGAAAGTGTCTGTACTCGTAGATAGTCAGGTTTCAAGAAATGGACCCCACACTTGAAGGAAGGAGGAGACGTGCCAAAAGGCTTAATAGGCAGATGGAAAATGTTTACAGCAGAAAAATTAGTAGCAGCTTATTTGCTTTCACTGAAAATGGGATTCTTGCTGTATGCCAAAATACTGAATTGATTGTTGGATAATGTGTAAATAAGTGTTTGGTGGTGGTGAATAGGATCCTGTGTTTGTTCACGTTATAATGGTTCAGTGAAACTTTCACTAGTAGTACAAAGCTTGCACTAAAACCCATTTGCCTATAAAAGGAGCTCTGGTTTGTACGTACTGTACACACTAAGGAATAACCAGGTATTTTAAGGAACTTGGATTTGGTTATAGTCTTGTGATACTTTACTAGGAATTCAAAAAAATAAACGTGGGAAAGGGCTGATCAGTGTTAGATGCACCAATTACAGGGACAGATTTAATTAATCTTTTGACGTATTCCTTGTAGGTGAAGGAGAATCTGCTGTCGTGCAAGATGCTGCTGCACTGCAAGCGCGATGAGTTGCGCAAGCTGTGGATTGAGGGGATTGAGCACAAACATGTCCTGAATTTGCTGGATGAGATAGAGAACATCAAGCAGGTGCCTCAGAAGCTGGAACAGTGCATGGCCAGCAAGCACTACCTCAACGCGACGGACATGCTGGTAAGATGATGTACCTCGTGCTGGGCCAGTACCCACCAGAAGCTCACTGGTCAGCCGTCTGGTCATCTGCTGTCTGTGTTACTCCTTGCCTTCTTTAGCTGCTTAGTTTCTTCTGTCATTTGCTGTGTTCTTCTACTGGAATTTCCCTTTGGTTTTGTTTTGATCCTTCTTACCGGACTTAGGGTCACGGGTACCAGCCCGTTTGGTTAGCTTTTGTCTTTCAGAGCTCACTTGACATGTTTACATGTCCTGATCCTGATGATTTTTGTAACCATCTAGTTCTTTACCCTTTTGGTCTGCACATAGAATTTCCTTCTGCTGTTTCAACCTGGTGCTTTATTTTCAAATTAATTTCCAAGACACCTGCATGTGTCATCTTCTTTCTTTATATTTTATCAATTATTTCTAAACCACTTTTGTTATGACAGAACTATCCTCTTTCTCTCTTAGCTCATCTGCCAGAACGCACTCAACTTTGGACATTATTCAATGGGGCGGGAAGACTGTCTTTTATCATTTAGGTGTGTTTGCCTCTCGTTGTCTGTCTCTTACCAGGACACTTCATCCTTTCTACTTATTTCCAGCTCTTCTTTTCTCCCTCCCTTGAAGTGTTTTTCCTTTTCAGTTCCATCTTTATAAGCATACCTTTCAGTTCCAGTCTTGTGGTAAAGGCAGAACTTTTCTGAATTTCCCTGATAATAATCTTTTTTATTATTTATTTCCCCACTTGTTTCTGAACTTAAGCACGCTTCCTCACCAGGCTCCAGTCCTTTCTTACCCAGAACTGTCTTCTACTAGTGATTAAAAGCTTGAAGGGAGGTGATCTTTCCCCTCTCCTCAGTCCTGACATGTGGAATGCTGAGTTCAGTTCTGGGCTCTCCAGTCCTTTCTTACCCAGAACTGTCTTCTACTAGTGATTAAAAGCTTGAAGGGAGGTGATCTTTCCCCTCTCCTCAGTCCTGACATGTGGAATGCTGAGTTCAGTTCTGGGCTCTCCAGTCAAGAGATGGAGTTACTGGATCCATTCCAGTGAAAAATCTCCAAGATGGTTAAGGGACAGGAGCAGCTCATGTGTAAGGAGGGGCTGAGAGAGCTGGGACTGCTTCCCTTATAGAAGGGAAACCTCAGGGAGATGTTGTTGATGGTTATAAATGCCTGATGGGAGGGTGCAAGGAAAACGGAGCAGACTTTTCTTAGTGGTGTGCACAATAACAGGAAAAGAAGCAGTTGACCCAGACTGAAACAAAGGTAAATATTTCAAAATGTAAGAAACTGCTTTTTACTGTAAAGGTGGCTGAACACTGGAACCGGTTGCCCAGAGAAGTCGTGGGAGTCTCCATTTGTGCAAAACTTTCAAGGCCAGGCTGGATGGGGTTCTGGGTAACTGTTACTAGGTGACCATACTTGAGCAGGGGGATGAATTAGATGTTCTCTGGAAGTCCTTTCCAACCTTAAGCAGTTTGGGATTCAAAAGTGAAGGCAAAAGTAGTATGTCTGTTCATATTCCTCTTTGTGTTTGCCAGAGAATGTCTTCAAGGCAATCTTTTCATTGCCTTCTTCTGTTATTGTTTTTTTTCAACTTGACTGTCCTTTGTATTGCTCTTAGCTGTGCTGCTTCTTATTTTTAATAAGTCATTATAACAGGCTAAAGAGCTGGAAATCTCAGTGTTGTCACCTCGTATTCCCAAAGCCCAGACCTGAACTTTAATTTCCTTCTCTCTGTTTTATCTCATTTTACCTTAAATACAACTTTCTAAAACTTATACCCTGTGAAACATTTTCAGCAGTTTGATGTCAATATCCTCATCCCATTTCTCTGATGGCATGTGTAACCCTACCTGGATTGGGTTGTTGCTGTCACATCCTCTTGTCTGATTTCCCTCTGCTGTCACCTTACTGTTGTTTTCACTTGTTCATGTTCTGGCGCTGTGCCACACCTGATGTGGTGTGGAAAGTCTCCCTGAAGCCTTCTCTTCTCCAGGCTGAACAAGCCCAACTCTCCCAGCCTGTCCCCATAGCAGAGGGGCTCCAGCCCTCAGGGCATCTTTGTGGCCTCCTCTGGACTCGCTCCAACCGGTCTATATCCTTCTGATGTTGGGAGTTCCAGAGGAGGATGCAGAACTGCAGGTGGGATCTCATAAAGGTGGAGCAGAGGGGAATATAAGACAATAGTTCATATAAAAAGGACAGTGAGACTCCAAGGAGAACAAGATGAGGGTTCCTGGAAGATGGTGTTACAAAGGAAAAAAGGGAAAACTGTGACCAGAATGGTTTGGGTTGGAAGGGACCTTAAAGACCATCCAGTTCCACCCCCTGTCATGGGCAGGGACACCTTCCATAGCCCATGTTGCTCCAAGCCTCCCCCAGCCGGGCCTTGGACACTTCCAGGGATGGGGCATCCCCAGCTTCTCTGGGCAACCTGTCGCAGTGCCTCCCCACCCTCTCCAGGAAGAACTTCCTGATGTCCCATCTCAATCTCCCTCTTTCAATTTAAACCTGTTACCCCTTGTCCTTTCCAGGCCCTTGTAAAAAGTCCCCCTCCAACTTGTCAGCCTCTTCAGGTATTGGAAGGGGCTCTAAGGTCTCCTCAGAGCCTTCTCTTCTGCACACTTTTTTGATATTTATCATATAATATGCTTTAGAAACAGTTTGCAATATATATACTTGTGAGATCTTAGGGGTTTGCAATGTATTGTGTGCAGGTTATGTACACTTACACATACAGAAATATGTGTTTGTAGGTTGCCCAAGGCTGTGGGAGAGAGCCAGTAGTAAACCTCTCTGAAGTACAGTTCTGTAGTGTACCATGCTGCTGTTTGTTTTACAGAATAGAGCATCTTTTCTAAGAAATGAAATGATAATGACAGAAAAAGCAGCTGTTAGTTTTTTTAATGTTGGGAATGCAGAGGAACCTCAGCTGAAAGCAGAATACACTATTTCAGCCATTCATTGACACTTGCAATTCTCACTTGCAGAGAAGTGTACCTGTAATAAAGAAATAATAACCTACCTGCAGTTGGAGCTTTTTTGTAGGCAGAAATCACTGTAGGCTCATTGGCTTTTGCCATCTCCTGTTAACACTGCCTGTGCAACACAGTGATGGTGTAATCATTCACTGACTGCAGGATAATTCCGTTCTCCTTTTATATGATACAGATATTATGTAAAATAATTACCAGACTGTCAGGGATGCAGCATGTATATAGATCCCTCTGCCCTTTTGTTTCATTCCTCGAGGTAAACAGATGCTCCCGGTTTAGAAAAAGCCCACAGTGATCCAAGAAGGAGCTGGTATCCCTCATATTGAAATTGGAGCACTGATTAATCTTGTTGCCTGTAGCCTTGTGATACGTACAGTCGAAATTAGACCTTTGCAGTCGTCGTGGTAGGTTGATGTAAGCACTCTAATGGCATAATTTCTGGTTGCTGCATCACACTTCTGCAGTCTGTTCTTTGTATTCCACTCACATTAATTGAAGTAATTTTGCCACTGAAGCGTGTTTCAAACCTCTGCATTTAAATTGAAATTTTAATTCCCTTATTGTTTGGAAAAGACGGCTGAAGATGGCTTGTTACAGGTTTCATTATCACTCAAAACTCTCCAGCTGCTGGTTCTAATGGGCAATGACTGAGTAATGCTGGGAAGAATTGTTAACACAAGAATGGCAGCTTTTCCCAGTGGTATGAACACAATGCAGAGGCATTTCCTGACAGCTTACATTTGTATGAAGTTAAAAATTTTAAGTGGCAGCTCTTTTTGTTTCCGATTCTGTATCAATCTAGAGCAGCACAGATGAGCTTCACATACCACATTCTGTGTTCCTCCAGCATCTTGATAATACTTGCTCCAGTGAGCAGAGCCGTGGAGGATCAGGTTTGCTGTTCTGCAACTGCACCTTACACGGGCTGTGTTAGAAGAACCCACTTCCAACCTCACTTGAATTGTGAAGCTTTGGAGAAATTAGGAGTGTCAGGAACAGATAGAACTGGTGTTTGATTACACTTCAGTTATTTTCAGCCTCTGTAGATGCTTTTTTAAAGTGGGAGCTTGTCAATTTTTCTGTAAAAGGTACGTTTTTTCACATGCTAAATGGCTAAAAGTAACGGTTGCTGTTTTGTGGTGATTGAGTGCACATGCATGTGTGTGTTTTTTCTGTAAAATGTAAAACATTGAGGGGTGGTTCAGGGGAGACCTTATTGCTCCTGACAACTCCCTGAAAAGGGGGTGCAGTGAGGGGGAAGTTGGTCTCTTCTCCCAGGTGACAAGTGATGGGACAAGAGGAAACAGCCTCAAGTTGTACCAGGGGAGGTCTAGGTGGGATATTAAGGAAAATTTCTTTTGGGAAAGGGCTGGCAGGCATTAGAAGGGGCTGCCCAGGCAGGTGGTGGAGTCACCATCTCTAGAGGGATTCAGGAGATGTGTGGTTGTGGCGCTTAAGGATGCGGTTTAGTGGTGGCCTTGGCAGTGTTGGTTAACAGTTGGACTCAATGGTTTTAAAAGTCTCTTCCAACCTAAATGATCCTATGTTCAGGTGCTGAGAAGGGAACTCTGACACAGAAGATGCTCCCTCAGAAAAGGCAGTGGGCAGTCTTCAGAGGAGAGAGCAGCAGAACTGGTGACATTCTATGACATCGTTGGAGCTGGGGTATAGCTCACACTTAGCTTGGAAGCATGAGCTTGGTTTCTGGAAGGCAGGCATCCAAGTTCTTCTAGGAGAGATGTCTTTTAGATGTGCTACACAACACTAGAACCAAGTCAGAACTCAGAGGAGAGGGTGCCCAGTGGGATGGGCAGCAGTGGGCCGGGACAGAAGGTTTTGTGCTTGGAGGAAGCAGTTCCATGTCTAGTCTTGCCCAGCACCGGGCTGTGTAGTGAAGGGCAGTACACTCTGCCTAGCAGTTACTCAATTACCTCAAGTATTGGAGAGGTCTGTGGTGTTGATCTGATTGTTTGGCTGGACTGTTGGCCCCTGAGGCAGCTGTGAGGAGAAATTAATATT